TCTTAAAACTTGCCGTCACATAGCTTCCGAACTTAAAAAAATTAGCCTACAATTTTAATGTTCTGCGCATCTGCAATGTATTAGTTAAAAGTTCTCCAGTTTTCATGCAAATATCATGTGTCGTTATTGAGAATTCTACTGGACAAGAGACCCTCCAAATATCGATTAAAGGGCAATAACTCATGAACGGGGGTATATATCAAAAATTTGAAAAAACTGTTTTTAGGCAATAATACATTGTATCTACCCTGAAAGTTTCATAGCAATCGGACAAAAGATCTCCGAGAAATCGCCTGCTGAAAATCGGCGGGAAAAAAAAATAAAATAATAATAAGAAACAGTAGAATAACAGTAGGGTCTTCCGAAGGAAGCTCGGAAGACCCTAAAAAAACGCCCTAAGTTCAGATGATTTGCCATCATTGCTGAAAGTTTCATGAAAATCTATCGAGGCGTTCTCGAGAAATCACCTGCACAAAATCGGTAAGAAAAAAAAAAAAAATAATAATAATAGTGGAAAACAAACAACAGAATCAGTAGAAGGTCTTCCGTTGGAAACGGAAGACCTTAATAAGAAGAAGAAGAAGAAGAAACAGAGTAAAAACAATATGTTCCCAAACTTCGTTTGGGGAACATAATGACAATGAAATGTGCAAATGTTTGCAATATAATTTTAGCTTCTTCAGTGACAATATGTGCCAATGTATGGTATATATTTTGTTGCCTGGGGGAAAAGGCTAATGTCACAGCACATATTGTCGTTGGTGTTAAAATGTACCAATCAACAACAGTATGTGCAATGAGGGTTAATACATATTACTGTTGGCAACAATATGTACAACAAAATGTACCATCACAGCCCCACATGAAATGTGGGAGACCTGTAGAAATCACATTGTCTGTCCCTCCATCTGTTCAGTCAACATGTTTGTTTTGACACAATAAATCTTAACATTTTTCAAGAAAACAATTTCAAATTTTGTATATGAGTACTTGAATATAAGAGTAATACACGACATTTTGTGGTCATATCACTTTGTCTGTACATATGTTTGATTGTATATCCACTGACACCTCTGTTGTTCTAATGCAAACAGTTTTCAAGGAAATTCTTCCTGTACATAGGTACTTTACTATAAAAGCAAACACCTACAGATTTTGGGCATCAGCATCCCAGGTAAAAGTTTTTGGAGCCGATTTCTTTTCAAGTACTTCTATGCCCTATATTAATCAGAGATGCATGGAGGATGCTTCTAGTATGTTTCAAAGTACCAGTCAAGGTTTCAGATGCTGCAATTTCAGCTGAAGAATGGCCAGGTTAATGTTTTTAGAGCAAGATAAAGTTCTTGGAGCAGGTTAAAGTTTTTGAAACAGGTCCATTTCCAAGTAACTATAAGCCCTATATTGACCAAACTTGCATGGATGATACATCTAAGTGTGCACACTACCACGCTTGCTTCGGATGCTGGATCTGACCTACATTTTCCGAATGAGTGACCAGGTTAAAGTTTTTGGAGCAGATCTCATTTCCAAGTAACTTAAAAAGCCCTATGTTGACCAAACTAGCATGGGTGATGCATCTAAAGATGCACACTACTGGACCTGCTTCGGATGCTTGATCTGACCTACATTTTCCGGTTGAGTGAGCAGGTTAGTGTTTTTGGAGCAGGTCCATTTCCAAGCAACTATAAGCCCTATATTAACCAAACTTGCATGGATGATACATCTAAGGATGCACACTACTGGACTTGCTTCGAATGCTGGATGCTGGATCTGACCTACATTTTCCTGATGAATGACCAGGTTAAAGTTTTTGGAGCAGGTTTCATTTCCAAGTAACTTTAAGCCATATGTTGAACAAACTTTTAAAGATGCACATTACCAGGCTTGCTTCGGATGCTGTATATGACCTACATTTTACAGAGGATTGACCAGGTTAAAGTAAACTCTAAGGGCTATCTGAATCAAACTTGCATGGATGATGCATCATGGGATGAACACTCTCAAACTTGCTTAAAATGCTGGATATGACTTACATTTTCTGGATGAGTGGCTAGTTTAAAGTTTTTAGGTAAGTCCATTCCGAAGTAACTGCAAGCCCCCTCAGACCAAAATTGCATAAATGTTACATCTAGGGATGCACACTACTAGATTATTAGTTTGGGACTTTGCCTTACTTAAAGACAACATTCATTGAGGTGAGCTCTGTAATCTCTGATTACCTATGTTTTTCCTATCATGCTCCCCTTTGGAGAGAGGGGCCACAATTATGGATCAAAATTTTATGAACAGGAATATATAGGGAAAAATCTTCAAAAATGTTCTTTTTAAGAACAGCAAAGCCATGATTATAGTTATATTAATGAATAGGTTGGAGCCACAACAATGGATAAAATTTTTACATGGGAATACATAGGAAAAATCTTTAAACCTTTTTCTTCTTGAGAATAGCAGGGTCATTGTATGCCAGTATCCTCAGTTAAGGAGGGATTCTTGTCTGGTTTCTGACTTAATGAAATACTCAAAGTATATTTGCTTACATGTCTTTTATATTTAGATGTTAAGGGTTTTAAAGATCATGTTTTTCTTTCTTTTTCATAATTGTACAATTTGAAATAGCAATGGTACTTTAAAATCTAGTAGGGACTATATTTTTGGCAGATTGGCGGTGTATGAAAATAGCCCCTTTTCTGCTTCTCAAAATTACTACAGAACAATGAATTTAAAAAGGCATTTTTAAACAATCAATGGCTTAAGGAAATTTCTGTACTGGCCGAAATTAATAATAATGGACTAAAGTTTTAAAATATATCAAATAAATATGATTTTCTAGACAAATGGCAATCTTATAGCCTTTGAGAGCTAAGGATTCTAAGAACAGATTTGAGTAAAAATTCAGTAAAAAATATTTTTCTCTCTTATTAAACAGTTAACAGATTTGATTTATGTATCATTTTGTACCTTTTGCATGACTACTTTACCATATGTAAAAATAATAAAATTTTAATTAAACAAAACATATTAAAACAACTAATATTCCCTAAAAAAAATAAGAAAAATAGAGGAAATTCGGGTTAGCAAGTATCTATTTAGTTTAACTGTTTATCTCAGTTTGATATTATCATTTGGTATACCTTTTGTAGTATCAACTTTTTATGTAAATAGAAAAAGATTAAATCTTTTAAAATAATAATAAGCATTACATGATTGGCAACAATATTTTTTGTTCTTAATGACAAGGAAAAGATAATGACCTTGACATGACCTTGACCTTTTAATTAAATGGTCAAATATAATGTAATTCATGTCATCACTTAGTGATATTGTTTTCTTTAATCTGTGAAAATTTCATTAATTTTTAAATATGATAAACACGAGAAGAATCCCTCCTTAATGCAGATTACAGTTTGTTCCAAGCATGGACCTGTGGAAGGATGGGGCCACTATTTAAAAATTGTTTGCATGAAGAGGCAAGCTGTTTCTTCATTATTATTAATGAATAGAGAGTTCTCATCATACTATAAAATGTATGTGATTTAAGCCAGTTTCAGGTGGGCCCAAAGTGGTCATAACCTGAAAAACTCATGATACTCGGGTGACTGTTAAGGCCCATGGGCCTCTTGTCAGTATTTAGCACTGGAGGCTTTGCCAAGTGAAGCCCTACCATAAGGCTCTGCCCTGGATCTGTTGGGTTTTTTTTATCCAGGCATGGTGTCCTTCCATTCTGAAATTTCTGGATCTGCCACTGTTGGTGATAGCTGAAACTTTCGATAATTTTATTCAGGATAGGTCAAAAATTAAAAGTTTCCATATATATTCATGGTCTAGTGTGATATTTTGCCAGTTGAAACTACTGTTGAAACTTTCCATATTTTTTTTGTCCTAGTATCAACCAGGGTCTGAGGTTGATGGTTGACAGTTCATTCTTTCCATATTAATGTTCTAATGTGGACTAAAGAAAAACTGATGGTTGATAGTTTCAATATTCATGTCCTAGTGCCAACTGGAGATCAGTTAAGAGTTGCTGTTGACACTTTTATATTGTTATACCTTTAAAAATTAGTTGCTATATAAATCTATACCAAAAAAGTGTAACATTTCCAATGTTTTCCTGAGTGGTCAAAAAAAAAAAAATCAATGTTTGACTGCAGATTGAGATATTGGACCTGTCGATGAGATATTGAACCGCTTACATCACACTGTGGGTGGGATCATCTTATTTGCATTCGTTGGTGTTAAAGGAAATTTAATACATCACGGAGGCCAGCACAAGATACATTGATGTCAAAAAGGTATAACAAATCATTTATTGACTGTGTTCTTGGGCAAAATGCATTTTGTCAACCCTTCAAACCAAACTGTTTGCCTTGGCCTTACAGCCTCAGGCAAACAGTTTGGTTCTTGGGTCGGACAAAACGCATGTTGCCCTCAAACCCAGTAAATAAATGTATATTGATGTTTAATTGTTGACTGGGGACAGACTGACTTTGACACTTAATTTCCATATACATATTCATGTCGCAGTGTTGACCAGGGACAGGTTAATGGTTGACATTGGAAGAACTTTACCATTTCCCAGAAATAAGTGCTAAAACAGAGCATTGCCATAGACAATTCTTATATACTCCATTATAAGAGATTGCATGAGTGATACTGTATATAAAAAAGAGAAAAATAAGAAGTTTGGAGCCTTTTTTCCCACCAAAAATCCATATCTACAGTGTACAATTGAATTTATAGTTTCACTTTTTTCTGTATTTGAAAGGGAGATTTTAGCCTTTTTTTCTTAAAGATTCAGTAAATGTTGTTGACAAAGTGCAAATTGATATTGAATATTACAACAAATGGAGCACGTATGCTAAATGGCATTTCTTTTGTGATTTGTAATAAGTTGTAATATAAACAAATACATGTCATGCCAACGAAACTACCTTTAACTATTAAGTTTCTTTTTTGCATGTTATTTGATACATTATTAATATTGTATTAATTTCTTTTGATAGGAACTTAATATAAAATATCCTTCTTACTCATGGCTTCTGTTGACATTGGAGAACAGGAAAAGGAATGTCCATGGCAATATATGAGCCAATCATCGGATCATCCATTGGTTAGCATAAATTATAGCATGATTAGTATTTAGTCAAATCTAAGACTCCTATTATTATGTGAAAAATTTAAGCATAAGTTCTAAGCAGTTTACTAATGTGTATCTTTTCTACTGTTTTCATTATACACTGAAACTTATCTAATCTGAACGTTGTGTATTCCGAAGTCTTGCCTAATAAGATGTAAATTTGAAGTCCCTTTCAGTAAATTCAATTGTTTTAATGTTATCTAATCCAGAATGTTGCTTAATCCTGCCAATATTTTTTGAACCCATTGTCTCCAGATTAGACAGGTTTTACTGTTTCTGATTCTTTGAATCTCACATTCTTTTTTATACCATTCTGATAAAAATTTGTCAGTTGTCTGCAGTGTTTTCAATAAGAGCCAGCAACTGGCAAAATTGACCACCAGGACAAGAAACATTGCCAACTATGAGATTTTCATCAATGGGATTTCACTGGGGTTAGTAACTGAAATAGGTAGATTTTATCGCAACTTTAAACATGATTTAGCATGACTTCCCATGAGTGCACTCTTTTTCTTTGAAGTTTGACATATGATCCAAATTTTAAGTAGCCTACTATTTGGGAGAGTGAAGTCTAAATAATAATTTTTTTAATAAACCTCCTAAAAATTCACAACTCAACAATCGTAATTATGACTTTAGCTTTAAAGGATTTGACACAGATTAACACGAGATTATTGAAAATTGGTGGCTTAATTGACATAAGCGTCAGGTATGTACAGCGTACAATGCCGAAGTCAGGAAAATAAATGTTTTTTTTTTTTTTAATTCACTGCCAGTCCACAATCATGCTATCGGATTGACTTTGCATCTCGTAAGAATTCCACAATTAATCCTTAAACAGCATTGCAGTCAGTGCGTTGAAAAATCCTTAGGTAAATACAACGGAAGTGCATAGAGAATATATTACCTATTATGATAACACCCAAGAGAGATTATTACGTCAGGCCAAAACTCTCTCAGACATTATCGTAATAAGTGATACATTCTTGGTGTACTTCCGTTGCGTTTACCCAAGGATTTTTCAATGCACTGGCTGCTATCCTGTTTAAGGAGAAATTTTTGGATCCTTGCGAGATGCAGAGTCAATCCAATAGCATGAACTAAGACAGAAATATATGTAGAGACAGTGTAAACCTACGATGGCCGACAGCGGCCGCCACTTTCTGATTAAGAATATTGTCATTTTGTACAGCGTTTTTGTCAATTTTCGTTGACATATTACAACTAAACTGGTAATGCTATATGTACATGTACACTTTTTACACTGACAATTTACACCAGCGAAAAACATTAAAATTCTTTCGTGTGATATGAAATTAAGATGCATAAAACAGGTGGCTTGAAAGAGATAAGGAGCATTTTAATGATTTTCACTCTCAATTAGTCTGAGATATCGTAACCCAGTTAATCCTAGATTAGACGTAAATCGTCATTCTGTCATCTTGTTGTATTAATAAAAAGGTATTCTTGGGATTGTAATTAATAAGGCGAATAAAAGTAATACGTTTGTTGTAATGGATATACATGAATATAATGGATATATCTCGATCCTCAGATTGTATAAGACAACTCGATTCTACCTATTATGTAGAGGTAGAAAAACAGGATTTAGTAGCTCTACATGTGAGCATCCAATCAAAAGTTTATGGAATGTATCAAAAACAAAACTTTAGATACGGAAATATACCCGTTTTTAAGCAAGAATAAAATGACAACCTTAAATGTGGGAGTCTGTATTTGCTCTCTAAATACATAAAATTAATAACTAAATGCTTGAAACACTTTTAAAGCCAACGCAACCTCTCAAGACTTCCACCTGGTCGGCCAATTATTTTTCAATGTGGCACGGGAATGAAAATATAGGTACATGTAACTAACGTGATCATTTCCTCGTGCGCATTGATTAAAAAACAAAATTCATACATCAAAGACACGTCCGATTATGAGCAAATCAAATTTCTGATAGACCTGGAAAATTTCATCCTGGCTACCTATGATGTGACCAGCAGGTACACCAACATGGAATTTTATGAATTAATTACTACAATCTGTCGAGAAAGTATATCTAGAAGACAATACTAATCTGTAATCACCCCGACCTTGCTGTTCTGCTAGAACCTTAAGCTTATCACCTTCAAGTAACCTGTTTTATGTATCTTCATTTCATATCACAAGAAAGAATTTTAATGATTTTCTCCAGTGTAAATTGTCAGTGTAAAAACTGTATATGGACATATAGCATTACCAGTTTAGTTGTAATTTGTCAACGAAAATTGACAAAAAAAAGCTGTACAAAATGACAATATTCAGAATCAAAAGTGGCGGCCGCTGTCGGCCATCATAGTAAACCAACATTTTAGGTTAAACTAAAATAAATACATGTTTGTAAACCCAGAAAAACCAGTGGGGGTACAACGTAAACAAACTGGAGTGGCATACCTTTCTCTCTTATAATGTATAGTGAGGCATTTTTTGTGTGGAACGATTATTTTTGGGGTTTTCACGATTTTTTCCTTTGGTACACATGATGAATAAGTGCAATAAATATAATTTGTGAAAAAATCTCCAACAAGCCCCGGGGTTGAATATCGGGGGGGGGGGGGGGGGGGGGGTTCCTGTTCACAAGTACCTGTGGATGCATACTACTGGACTTGCTTCGGATGTTGTACTTGACCAACATTTTCCAGACGAGTGACCAGGTAAAAGTTTCTGGAGCAATTTCTTTATAAAGTGACTATAAGCCCTATGCTAACCAGCTTTGCACTGAAGATACATTTTTTGATGCATGCTACCAGGCTTGCTTCAGATGCTGGATTTGACCTACATTTTCCAGAAAAGTATTTTGCAGATATTGACATAAAATTGAATGATTAGCATCTCATAAGACTTTTGACCTCATTTTCTGTCAATTGGTGTCAGTTCCGGTTAAACTAGAAGTATTCATAAATTGCTTAATTTCACATGTATCAGCTAGCCTAGATTTCAGTGAGAAAAATGTACTTAAGATAAATCAACATCATTTTTCATCAAATGGCCTTCTTAAAAATGAATAGCTTACATTCATTAATCAATCATACAGACAGTGATGCAGAAAATCGGATGGAAGACACTCATTGCTTTGCAAATGGGCTTAAGTACTCCAAGAGCTCTAAGCATAGTAATAATAGTTATCAAGAATATTGTGCACATTTTCTGATGTGCATAAAAATGCACTAGCAACTATATTTTATCAAACTTGCTTCTATATTATTCAAAAAAAGGTTTTCATGTAGATATCCTGCATTTAGATAAAATGTGCAGTAAATATTATATTTGAAATCAAATACATTGGATACATATATTTATTGCTACATAAATGTTTTCGATTCAGAAGTTTGTTGTATAATGGCGATAGTGTAGAATAAATATTGTACATGCAGTCTGTAAAAGACAAGTAGTGAAAATGACATGAAAAATTTATTTAAATTCCAACAAGTACTTGACTATCTTTCTACTAAAGCCAGTCCGACTATTCAACTAAGCTGTCCAAATAAAGCTGACATTCCTACTTTAAAGGCAAACACATTATTATTATGTTATTATCATGATTCCCTGGAGGTCTTGTATTACTTTAAATTTCTTGAACTAAAACTATGAACTAAATATATCTTAATTTATGTATTTTTATTCTTTTTCTAAACTGTGTATTAGTTAGCTATCTGTTGAAAAAATGCTAGCATTTCCAAATTATTAAGTAACAAAAAAAATATGAAGTTAAATTCAAAAACATCTATTTGAAATGTGTATCATCTATATGAGTAATGGTCTGTTAAACATTATAAGTATAACATCAGATTATGCTAATCATAAAAAGAGACTGATTTTCTATTAGTTACTTTGGTTGAATTTACAGAGTTATGCCCCTTTTCTATATTATTTCCTATTGGTAATAAAATTATTCCAAAATTATGCTTTTCCTTCTTAAGATTTTCTTTGATTTTTCTGTTTCATTTATTTTGTGTAACTATATGTTTCATTTATCCAATATAAATTCAATTGCAGATACATGTAGTTTGACGGTATACATATTTGCTAATTAACCGGACTTTTGTGATTTCAGATAAAGGACCTGTTTGACAGACATCATGAATACCCTGACACACCAGCCAAGTTTACAGTTGGTTTGGTTTTATCTGTCGGTAGCAAGGTCCCATCGGATTTCACAACAGAACCAGTGGAGATAGAGATTGGAATACAAGAATTAACCTTATCTGGGAAGTCAGTCAGGATAGATTGTGTTAGATATGCTGTTCCTCATGTAATAGACAACACACTGTCACTTCTGATTTCAGTGCGTACTAGCAGTGAAAATTCTTACTCCGTTTTCTACACTGTAAAACCAGTAGATGGGTATGAGGCGGTGTCTATTCTTAATCTGATCAGGAAATCAATGTTTAGTAAAATACTACAGGATGCCCATTGTGATTCTGAACTAGCCATAAAAGCTATGAATTTTAATCGGCTCCTTTTCAGTGAGAATCTTGAATGTTCTGTGACACCACAGCCTGATGGTAAGGAGTTCTATGTAAGGATAGACCAGGAATGCATGTGCTTCTATCATAATCAGTTTGAATCTGTGCCCTGTGTTGAACTTTTCTTCTGGAAGGAAAGAGGAAGTAATGTCATAGAGCGTGTAATGATGATCAATGATACTGGGGAAATAAGATTTGAAAGCGAGAACACCACAGTTTTAGTTAAAGTAAGTTATGAATGAATTTAAATTGAAATTTTACAATTTCTGTTTTAAGCTCACCTGTGAGCTCAATTGAGCTTTTCTGATCACATTTTTTCCACAGTTCATCCGTCCATCTGGGCCACCATTAAAATTTTTTTTTGTTTGATAGACACCTAACAGCTAAACAATTTAAATAAATTACATATATCTATTTCTGTAAAATCTTTTAATCTAAAAAGTATCTTAGAAAATTGATAGACCTTAACTTTAAAAACAATACAGATAGCCTATATATTTAAAAGAAAAAAGAATTTGAAGTACTGATAAAAAAATGATTGGGTAGGGGCAATTTTCATGGATCAATCGGAATACATCAAAAAAATCATTTTTAATTTTTTCCCCATTTGTAAACTTTTCGACTTCTTAAGAACCATGTGGCCAATTTCAACCAACTTGCCGCATTGTCATCGTTGCAAACCACGGCCAGAATGTACGATCCTGTCCCATTCTGGCCGTGGTTGAATGAGAAGAGAATATTTCGTAGCTCATTAAAATATTGACCAACGCGAGTAAAGCATAGTCGGAGAATGAACTTTGACGCGACCTTTCAATACCCAATCGCAGTATACGAAACACTTCTTGTATACTGTTGGTGTCATTTGTTGATTTCAATTGCGATGGAAACAAATAGTGTCATTGGAAGAAAAATGATGTCACAATATTGAGGCGTAAATATTCAAGATTACGACACCTTTTGTGATCAAGCAGCCACGGGTTGGAGAGAGTATATGTGGACTCCGGACTGTGGCTTGAGATGATGCCGCATTGTAACCTTGGGTAAAGAGGAGTCAAGTTAATTCAAATGAAGGGCCATGCCTTCTTTCAAGGGGAGATAATTATAAATATATTTAGTAAAAAATAAATGAAATCTTTTAAAAATCTCCTCAAAAACAACCGGGACAAAAATATGAAATTCATTTCGAAGCATCCTTAGGTAGTGTAGATTCAAGTTTGTTCAAATCATGACCCCAGGGGTAGGATGGGGTCACAATGGCCGATCAAAAGTCTACATAGGAATACACAAAGGGTCCATTCAACTTTGTTCAAATGAAGTACCATACCCCCTTCCCCCTTCCAATCAACTAAAAGGCAAGGATATGGTGTGATCATTTAAAAATCTTCTCAAGGTCCATTTGCCAGAAATTAAAAAAAAACTTAGTTGAATGCTAATTTGCCTAGTGTAGAGTCTAAAATGTTCAAATCATGACCCCTTGGGTTGCTTGGGACCACAATAACTGGTCAAAGTTTTACATGGAAACATACATAGAAAAAAAAATCTTAAAAATCTTCTCAAGAACATAAGTGCTATGATTATTAGCTCACCTGAGCTGAAGGCTCAAGTGAGTTTTTCTGATTGAAATTTGTCCATTGTCTGTTGTCGTCGTTGTCGTAAATTTTCCACATTTTCATCTTCTTCTCTAGAACCACTGGGCCAATTTCAAACAAACTTGCCAAAAGTATCCTTGGGTAAAGGGGGTTTAAATTTGTTCAAATGAAGGGCCACGCCTTCTTCCAAGGGGAGATAATTACAAATTCATGGAAAATTAATGGCAACATTTAAAATAAAAATCTTCTCAAAAACCACTGTGCTAGAAAATATGAAACTTATGTGGAAGCATCCTCAGGTAGTGTAGATTCAAGTTGTTCAAATCATGACCCCTGGGGGAAGGGTGGGGCCACAGTTGACCATCAAAGTTTTATGTAGGAATACATAGGGAAAATCTTTAAAAATCTTATTCTCAAGTAAAGCAAAGCCATGATTGGTCATATTTATATGCATGGAAACATCTGCAGGTAGGTAAATTCAAGTTTGTTCAAATCATGACCCCCGTGGGGTAGGGTGGGGTCACAGTGGGCTATCAAAGTTTTACATTGGAATACATAGGGAAATTCTTTCAATTTCTAATTTCTTCTCAAGAAATTAGAAAGGCATGATTGGTCATATTTATATGGAAGCATCCTCAAAAAAAATCTTCTTCTCAAGAACAGCAAAGCCATGATTGGTCATATTTATATTTAAGCATCCTCAGTACAAAGTATAGAAACAAGCTTGTTCAAATCATGACCTGCGGGGATAGGGTGGGGCCACAATAAATGATCAAAGTTTAACATATGAATACATAGGAAAAAATCTTTAAAAATCTTATTCTCAATATCAGCAAAGCTGTGATTGGTCATAATAAAATAAAAGCATCCTCAGGTAATGTAGATTCAAATTTGGTCAAATCATGACCCCCCAGGAGTAGAGAGGGGCCATCACTTCAACATATCCCTGGTACAGTTGAACTTCAGTATCTTGAACATGGATATCTCGAATACCATGGATATGTCAAAGTGATTGTGAAGTCCTAACCACGTGTTTCTTAAGTATTTATGCCCCACGCAACTAGTTGCGTGAGGTATAATGTTTTTGACCCATCCGTCAGTCAGTCAGTCAGTGTGTCAGTCAGTCAGATTTTTGGCCATATCTTGAATATAGAGGTGAGCAGTTTGTCAGCGCAACTCCTCTTAAACCGTTGCACAGAATTTGGTCAAACTTTGCAGATATTTAGTACACAGTGTGTAGATGTGCATATTACCAGGAAATTCCAATTCCTTTATTTTTCTGGGAATTTTGGCACTTTTCAACTTCGATTATTGGCCATATCTTGAATATAGAGATGAACAGTTTGTCAGCGCAACTCCTCTTAAACCGCTGCACAGAATTTGGTCAAACTTTGCAGATATTTAGTACACAGTGTGTAGATGTGCATATTACCAGGAAATTCCGATTCCATTATATTTGCCTGAAGAGTTTTGCCTATTATTGAAGAAACTTTCCAGCTAGGTAATAAGGAAATCCACTGGAATCAACTTTTGTAATGAAATTTAAGTGAAATATTTTATGACCTTAAAAGACCCCTATTGAATTTGATCAAAATATTAATGATTCAATACACACACACACAAAATCTTGGATAGTTCTCCCCCTCCCTCCCCCCCCCCCAAAAAAAAAAAAATTGGTGCTTAGCCTGCTTCATAATTTTGTTTCCATCAATTATTTAAATGTGTAAATTGTCATGTGTTGGACATGGACTTACACTCATTAACAAATTGAAATCACTGAGGAATTTAAATAACAGTTTGTCAGCATAACTCCTGCACTGAATTTCCTGAAACTTTGTAGGTATTTCAGACATAATGTATAGATTTGTATATTACCAAGAAATTTTGATTCCATTAATTATCTAGAAACTTCAGCCCAATTAAATTTGTAACATACAAAGATTTGAATGTCCTTATATGCAAGAAGTTTTGATGTGATTATTTTTTGCATGTAATGCCCCTTTTTAAATTATACTGTATATTTAAAATGCACTGTGCCATTCATTACGTGTTGCATTGTCAAGTTTTGGGGGAGCGAGGGGTATGTGAGCTTGCTCACTTTTTCTTTCATTTACTCTTGATGTCTCGAAACCTCGAATATCTCAAAGTTTTATCTCGATCCCATTGAGTTCGAGATAATGAGGTTTGACTGTATTTGAGATATCAGTACTAGTGTTTGAGATACCAAAGTTCAACTGTATTTGAAAAAAATCTCATTACAAGAAAAACATTTTGAATCATTGCCCTGGATAGGGTCCTGGAGATGCAGAAATTTATTTCATTGCCAAATTCATTGTATTGCAAAAATTCCTAAATTACAAAATGTAGCAATTTATCAAGAATTGGCTGCACAGTCCTCATGTTTATTCAGCTTGCATTGATGATGCATGAGACTTGTTTTAAATGCTGGATCTAACCTACATTTTGAATATGCATGCTAGATCTAGGGTTGGACAATGGTTATCTATACTGTACCATGTACATGTAGTTATACCCTCCGCAAACGAAGTTTGGGGGGGTATATAGGAATCACCTTGTCGATCTGTCCGTCCGTCTAGCTGTCTGTCTGTGCAAATGTGTCCTGTCCATATCTTTCTTACAGAGGAACATTAAAATCTACTACTTCCCACAAAGATTGTTCATGACCTGAGGGTGTGTCATGATCTTGACCTATAGTCACTGTAGAAAAAATGGGTAAATAATGCATCCATACTTGTCAAGAGAGAAATACTTGAAAAATTGTGATTAATTTTTTCAGTGTAATAAAAAAAACAATGTTATTATAAGTATTGATGTTTTCTTAGGCTGTGCCTTAGTTTCATTCATTAAAAAATATAATGAGCAATTACCATTAAATTTTAACTCTAAATGTTTAAACAAATTGTGAACACCTCTAAGATCCATCAAATACTAGTATTAGTGACTTGGCACCTTCTCTGAAAAACCCAGTGGGGGGTATTTGTCCATTTTGGACAGTTCTAATTTCAAAATTAACTGTAAAATGCTGTTTCATTTAATGAAGTATGCATATTAGTATTTAATCCTCTTCTTTATATATTCTATGCATCCAAGTTAATTCAACAAAACTGCATCATTTAAAAAAAATACAATGTCCATACTTTATAATTGGAATACATTAACTTTAAGGTGGTTTTGATTTCAGTTTGCCGTTGCAACCACTATTGAAATAACAACCAATATTGAAATAATTATTTCAATAGTAATCGAGAGTGCACTTCAAAAACAACACATTATAACCACTATTGAAATAAAATGTAATTTTTATAATTTGGGGTTATATAGTTTTTGCCCTGTCCAGCCATCTGTCCGTCTGTCTGTCTGTCTGTTTGTCCGCAAAAACTTAAATATTGCCCATATTTTTTGATTGGTTGGAGCTATGGCTTTCATATTTCACATGTGTATTCCTTGTGACAAGACCTTTCTTTGGGTACCATCATATTTGACCTTGGAGTTTTACCCAGTTTTGCAAAATTTTGCCTTTGACCTTGGCCATAACTTTTGAATGGTTGGTGCAAGGGCTTTCATACTTCACATATGTAATCCTTGTGACAAGACGTTCCTTTTGAATACCAACAACTTTGACCCTTTGACATTGACCTTGGAGTTTGACCTACTTTTGAAAAACTTTAACCTTGGCCATAACTTTTGAACAGTTTGTCCAAGGTCTTTTATATTTAACAAGTCTATTTCTTGTGACAAGACTTTCCTTTGGATACCAACAACTTTGACCCTTTGATCTTGGAGTTCGACGTACTCTTGGAAAACTTTAAACTTGGCCATAACTTTTGAACAATTGGTGTAAGGGCTTTCTTATTTAACAAGTCTATTCCTTGTGACAAGACCTTCCTTTGGATACCAACAACTTTGACCTTGGAGTTTGACCTACTTTTGAAAAACTTTAACCTTAGCCATAACTTTTGAACGGTTGGTGCTATGGCTTTCATACTTCACATATTGAATATATGTGACAAGACCTTCCTTTGGATACCAATAACTTTGACCTTTTGACCTTGACCTTGGAGTTTGAACTACTTTTGGAAAACTTTAATCTTGGCCTTAACTTTTGAACAGTTGGTGCTAGGGCTTTCATATTTATCAAGTCTAATCCTTGTGACAAGACCTTCCTTAAGATACAAACAATTATAATCCATTGACCTTGACCTTGAAGTTTGACCTACTTTGAAAAACTTTAACCTTGGCCATAACTTTTGAACAATGGTGCTACGACTTTCATATTTCACATATATATTTCTTGTGAAAAGGCCTTTCCTTGGGCACCATTTATTTTGACCTTGATCTTGATGTTTGACCTACTTTTGGAAAATTTTAATCTTTGTCATAACTTTTGAATGGTTGCTGCTAGGGCTTTCATATTTCAAAGGTATATTCCTAGAGACAAGACCTTACTTTGGGTACCAACATATTTGATTTGCATTTGAGAAAGTTTAACCTTTGCTATAAGTTGCCATATGGGGACATCAGTGTTTCACAAATACATCTTGTTTCAATAGTTTAAGAGATTTCATAAACAATATCATATTGTAACCACTATTGAAATAATGACCACTATTGAAATAAAATGTAATTATTTTAATAGTGGTTGAGAGAACATTTCAAAAAGAATATCACATTGTAAACACTATTGAAGTAATGATTACTATTGAAATAACTATTCAATAATGGTTGAGATTAATTCATTTCAAAAATAACACCTCATTGCAAACACTATTGAAACAGAGACTACTACAGTTGTGTATTGAAATAACTATTCAAAAATGATTCAGATAGACTATTTACTAAACAAGGCTACTTTGCATCCAGTTTGAAAATAACAGTTATTGAAGAATTGTTTCAACAGTGGGTGAGAATGCATTTCATAAGCAGTACTACATTGCAAACACTACTGAAATAACATCCATTACTGTAAAATTCCTTTTAACTGCCCCTGACCCTATAAGCGCTCCCAAGGCCTTTTTCAATTGTTGGGCAATAAGAGCCCCCTGTACTGTGATTGCAAATATCTAGAATCATATTGAAAATCCACCATAATTTGGAGAAAGTGAAAATAAAACTCAGTTATTAGGTATTTCATATGGAAAGTATTTCTGAAAGTGAAAGATTCTTAGAACGACCTAATCATTATTATACCCCACGCAACTAGTTGCGGGGGGTATAATGTTTTTTACCCATCAGTCAGTCAGTCCGTCAGTCCTGTTTTTTTGTCAGCACAACTCCTCCTAAATTGCTGCACAGAATTTGGTCAAACTTTGCAGATATTTAGGACACAATGTGTAGATGTGCATATTACCAGGAAATTCCAATTCCTTTATTTTTCTGGGAATTTTGGCACTTTTCAACTTAGATTTTTGGCCATATCTTGAATATAGAGATGAACAGTTTGTCAGCGCAACTCCTCCTAAACCGCTGCACAGAATTTGGTCAAACTTTGCAGATATTTAGGACACAATGTGTAGATGTGCATATCACCAGGAAATTCCGATTCCTTTATTTTTCTGGGAATTTCGGCACTTTTCAACTTAGATTTTTGGCCATATCTTAAATATAGAGATGAACAGTTTGTTAGTGAAAATCCTCTTAAACCGCTGCACAGAATATGGTCAGTCTTTGCAGATATTTAGTATACAGTGTGTAGATGTGCATATTACCAGGAAATTCCGATTCCTTTATTTTTGCCATAAGAGTTTTGCCTATTATTGAAGAAACTTTCCAGCTAGGTAATAAGGAAATCCACTGGAATCAGCTTTTGTAATGAAATTTTGTGTGAAATATTTTATGACCTTAAAAGAACCCTATTGATTTTGGGATCAAAATATTAATGATTGAACACACACACAATCTTGGATACTTCTCACCCCCCCCCCCACCCCCTCAAATTGCTGCTTTACCTTAAATAATTTCATAAGTACAGTATATAAACAAATTCATATGACTACATCATAATTTTGTTTCTATCAATTATGTAAATGTGTAAATTGTCATGTGTTGGACATGGACTTCCACTCATTAACAAATTGAAATCACTGAGCAATTTAAATAACAGTTTGTCAGCATTACTCCTGCACTGAATTTCCTGAAACTTTGTAGGTATTTCAGACATAATGTAAAGATTTGTATATTACCAGGAAATTTCGATTCCATTATTTATCTAGAAACTTCAGCCCAATTAAATTTGTAACATACAAAGATTTAATGTCCTTATATGCAAGAAGTTTTGATGTGATGATTTTTTGCAAGTAATGCCCCTTTTTGAATTATACTGTGTATTTAAAGTGCACTGTGCCATTCATTACATGTTGCATTGTTGAGTTTTGGGGGAGCGTGGGGTATGTGAGCTTGCTCACTTTTTCTTTCATGTATTTGTGAAAGTTACCTACAATTTGTTCTCCTTGTATATTCTCTAAAAATAATTTTAAACATTCTAGAGAGAATACCAAAATAACTGCCCCCCCCCCCCCCTTTGGCAATTTTCTAAGTGCCCAGAACCACTAAAACATAAAAGGGATTTAACAGTATCAATCAGAAATAATTATTTCAATGGAGAATGATATTTTTTAGTGGTTGCAATATGGTTTTGGGCTGAGAAATGCATTCTTAGCCATTTAATGAAATAACATATACCGTACTATATACTCGCGTATAAGTCAGTCCGCTTATAAGTTGGTTGTATTTTTGCAGTTATTTTAGGATATTTGCCATTGACCCACTTATAAGTCAGTACATGTACAACTTTTTGCTTGAATTGATTGACAATTTCAAATCAATGCTCTAATATTTTAACCTGGTTACAATCAATATTTTTTTAAAATGATGTCGATATTTAATTTTAAATCATAAAAAAATAAGTAACGCACACTTAAGATAAAAATAAAACTATTAAAAATTATAAATACATGTACTTTATGCATAATCTTAGAATACATAAATGATTTAATATATAAAGACTTTGTTCAACGATAATCGGGGGGATTGTTTATAAAATACTACCTTTCATCGTCAGGAAAAATACCAATCTTTCTATGACTTGCCTATAAGTTGGACACAGAGTTTTGGACCAAAAATTAACTCCCGAAAAACTGACTTATAGGCGAGTATATATGGTAATTACTTCAACAATGAATGTTAGTTCTGTAATGGTTGCAACCTGGGTTTGGTTTTGAAATGCATTCTCAACCACTTAATAAATATTTCAGTAGTGAACATTATTTCAATAATGGTTGCAAACTGGTTTTGGTTTTGAAATGCATTCTCAACCACCATTGAAATAATTATTTCAACAGTGGTCATTATTTCAATAGTGGTTGCAACAATAATTTAGTTTTGAAATGCATTCTCAATCACTACTGAAATAATTATTTCAATAGTGGACATAATAACGTAAGCATTCATTTTTCAAATATATGTGTCATACTTTTTAGAATTCTGTTTTCCTATTTCATAGTAGTAAAATAGTAAATGAAAATCATAGGGAAACTTGAGGTTGATAACAATGTTAAAAGCTTAAGGTTAGATACTCAAAACATTTGTTATGAATAATTTTCTACTACTTTCTTTGATTTTAAAGTATGTTTTTAAAATCCAAAATGTAATAATAAGAAATTTAATGACTGAATGAAAACCACAGTGATATGTACCAACTTTAAAAAATCATGAAATTTGAAACCTTTTAAACCTACTTTTATGAAAGTAAAGACGTTTACAGTGACCACATGACCGAGTTTACAAGGTGTGCTTAAAGGCAAATAAACTTAAAAAATATATATATAAAAAAAGAAATATATGTTTGCCCTTTCTTTATAGTTATCCTGCAGGGGATGTTAGTCCTATTACAATAGTTCTAATTACTTTTAGGACCAGAGAAACATAGACAAATTCAAAAGTGTTATAGCCAGCAACTCCTCCAAGTCTAAAGAAATCTTCCAAGGTAAGTATTGTGTAGTACTGTATGACACTATAGATTAATGGATAAGGTTTACATCAACTCACTTTGTAACTCAGGTGACCTATTGCTATCTTTTCATCCATCGTTGTGTGATGTGCGTTAACATTTGAACATTTTTAGCTTCTTCTCTGAAACCGCTCAATCAATTTCAACCAATTTTTTGCATATACGGTCTATTGGTGAAGGGGAACAAAAATTATGAATTTCATGGTCCTGCCCCCCCCCCTCAAGGGGCTTCAGGGGTGGGACTAAAACCTTTAAAATGAATGCAATCTTTAAAAATCTTAGCCTTTACTCCTGAACATCAAGCAGTCAAACTGTTGGCATGATTGTAATAAGGATTGAGCCTTCTACCAAAATTATGAAATTTATTGCCCCAGGGTCAGGGGTTCCCTTACAGAAATTTCTGATAAGTGACTTATAAGTGATTTATTCTTTTACTTATAAGTTGTTTATACTGGACTTATACTTCACTGATACATTTAACTTATAAGTGACTGATTAGTGACTCATTAGGATTTTATATGCAAATGAGGTGCTTGACTTATAAGTGATTTATAAGCCAAGTATTAGCCACTTTTGCTTTATGCAAGTATAGTCACTTATAAGTGACTTATAAGTCAAGTATTAGCCCTTTATACTTTATCAAGTATGAGTCACTTATAAGTCACTTATAAGTGAAGTACATCACTGCCTCTAAGATCTTAATTTAGAACAGAGCTTCAAATCATGCAGGGGTTGCATGATGTTCAAAGTTTTTTTTTTTACATATATACATACTAGGGATGTCAAATCGGTCAATTTTTGATAATCGGTTACTCGGACGTTTTTCCGATCGAGTACCCGGGTACTCGGTAAAAATATAAATACAAGTGTGTTAATTTTCTTGAGCCCCGTTAAGCTATATTAAACTCCAAAGCTGTTTTTATCACGTTTATAAATGTATATAAACATTGAGTCCAATGGGGATGATTTTTTGGTACTACATTTATTTATCAAATAAACACAAATGACACAATAAATACATCAAAAATTAGAAAAAAAAATTGTTTACAGTTCTTCTTTAGGATCTATTTCATCAACGCAAAAGGAGGACAATCTGTTATGCAGGTTTGTGGTGATTAGACTAGTGAAAGAGAAGGAACGGACGTTGTTGGGATTGCTAATCTAATATTATTTCATATGTTGGTTGTTTCCCCCGTATACACTAAACATATTACGCAAACTGACTTTCAATATTTTTTGAATCTTTAATTATTTCTAAATATTTCTCAACTTTTAAAGTGGGTACCAGCATGTCCGATTTCGCTGCCGTATATTAACTTAATAATTTTAAAATGATTTGAAGATAATGGACCATATTTAAACGATGTTCACTGAAAACAATCATTGAAGCCATCCAAAAATCAAGGACCACAGTAGGTGAGAACAGCTGTGTACCAGGTGATTGGTCACTAATTACTGTATACACACTGCCACAGGCAATAAGGGGTGTTTTACAGGTGTAAATGATGACACACTAATTACCGTATGCATATTAAAGTTATTTTTTAGGTCACCTGAGTCACTCAGGTGACCTATTGCTATCTCTTTTCGTCCGTCGTTGTGTGTCGTCCGTCGGTCGTAAACTTTTGAACATTTTCAGCTTCTTCTCTGGAACCAGCAAACCAATTTCAACCAATTTTGGCATATAGCATCTATGGGTGAAGGGGAACAAAAATTGTGAAATTCCTGGCCCCTGCCCCCCTGGGGCCTGAGGGGTGGGGCCAAAACCATCAAAATTAATGCAATCTTTAAAAATCTTCTTCTTTACTCCTGGACATCAAGCAGTCAAACTGTTGGCATGATTGTAATAAGCATTGAGCCCTCTACCAAAATTGTGAAATTCATGGCCCCAGGGTCAGGGGTTCTGGTGCTAGGGTGGGGCTATATAGATCATATAGTGAAAGTGCATTATTTCTTTGAAAATCTTCTCTACTCCTGGGTATTATTGAAACAATTTGAATACATAGTTATGATAAGCAAGAGTGACTCTACCAAAATTGTGAAGTTCATGACCCCAGGGTCAGGGGTTTTGGTGGGTGGGGCTATATAGATCATATAGTGAAAGTGCATTATTTCTTTGAAAATCTTCTCTACTCCTGGGTATTATTGAAACAAATTGAATACATAGTTATGATAAGCAAGAGTGACTCTACCAAAATTATGAAATTCATAGCCCCAGGGTCAGGGGTTCTGGTGCTAGGGTGGGGCTATATAGAACATATACTGAAAGTGCATTATTTCTTTGAAAATCTTCTTCTCTACTCCTGGGTATTATTGAAACAAATTGAATACATAGTTATGATAAGCAAGGGTGACTCTACCAAAATTGTGAAATTCATGACCCCAGGGTCAGGGGTTCTGGTGCTAGGGCGGGGCTATATAGATCATATAGTGAAAGTGCATTATTTCTTTGAAAATCTTCTTCTCTACTCATGGTTATTATTTAAACAAATACATGATTATGATAAGCAAGGGTGACTCTACCAAAATTGTGAATTTCATGACCCCTGGATCAGAGGTTCTGATGTTAGGGCAGGGCTCTATTTATTATATATCGAAAATGCTTTAAAAATCTTCTCTGCACCTGGGCATATCAGAGGCAAAAAAGAGTAAAAGTTTCAATAAGGAAGGGTATTTTTACCAGATTTTTGAACATGATCAGGACCATTTGGTCAAGTGTTCTGGTCCAGGCCAGGGCTCTATTAATTTGTATTCTATTGAGAGGAGTTATTCCCCTTTGCCATTTAGGTGTGATAATTAATCACTGTATATAATGTACTTGAAAGGTTAATAGAATAAGAGAATTCTGCAAGAATTTTTATTGTATAATACAAAAAGTACTTTCATAGTTTTAATGATCAGGTAGACTTGTAAGTAATAGATAAATAACTAGAGCAGAGCTCGTTGCAAAGCAACGAGTAGGTCTTCAGTTGGAGCTGCGAACAGGAAGAAGTGACCTTGAGTCAAGGTCATGCCACATTCTAAGGTTATAAGCAATCTTGTAAGGGGTATCAACTTGCAATGTCTCACCAGTAGAAAGACAGTTAAGGAATGTTGTTTCTCCGTTGATGACCTTGAACTCGTTCAAATGACCTTGCATCAAACCATGACACACTCTGGTTATAAGAAAACCCCATCTATGTGTAACCGACTCGACAAGTTAACACATGTTCTTTCAGACCATTCATCCAGTCAAAACATTCTTTCCTTAGTGACCCTAAATTTAATCAACATGGCCGTAGGAACCGAGGGGGGCGTGCCCCCCAATAATTTTGCCGATATATAGATTACAATAGTAGACATAGATACTATAGCTTGTGCCACCTCAATAAAAACGTCTGATAACCTTCTTTTTTTTTTTTTTTTTGCTTGTCAAGGAATTTTTGGTAGTTGGTGACCTTTTTTTTTTGCTTGTCAGGAAATTTATGGTAGTAGTGCCCCCTCAACTGTCAACTGAAAATGTATGGCTGTGCCCCCCCCCAAAAAAAAAAAAAAACTGAATTTGCTTCCTATGGGCCTGATCAAGGCAATGATACACTCTGTATGATATCAGCGATACCCTTTTGTGTGTTTCGGACTTGACAAGTTCACAGTTTGCATTTATTGCATGATAGTGAGGGAGACATGAAGATTTCTTCGCCCATAAAAAATCATATTCCGCGAGGGCAACATGAAGATTTCTTCGCCCATGAAAAATCATACTCCCCGAAGGCAACGCCCGAGGGAAATATGATTTTTCATTTGCAAAGAAATCTTTATGTCTCTATTATGCAATAAATTGTTTATAATACCGAATTAACCAAAATGCAGGAATTACAAAGGAGATCCAATGAATAAAGCAAACATGCATTTGATGAGAACGATATGAAAGAGATGTAAGTTACAGGTACACCAATAGCCTCGTTTCATTAAAAAAAAAATTCCTACGTGACAAGTTTGTGTGATCACACCAGTAACATTCAAACACCATTACATTTTTACACATTTAAATCGACACAATCAATCAACGATAATATGTTGACGGTGCGACCGTTGGGCGAGTGCATTGTTCACTTAATTTTAAGATCCGCCTCTTCAAACAGCACGAGACATTTGGAACGTCTAGACTGTGACGTCTCATGACGTATGTTAGCTGTACTTCCATAAACGAATTTTGAAAAGTGCAAACATTTTAACAAAGAACGTTTAATCTACTATCTGTATGCAATTCCATTAATTAAGGTGATTTTTTGGGGTGAATGTTTAGTTGTTGTTACCGCGCGAACGAAGTTAGCAGCGTCGCTATAAACAATCTAACTCCTCACTCGTTTAATTGTGACGTCACAATCGTGAAACACGACGTTTTGTTGCAGGGCAAACATGATGGACACGTGACTTTCTCGGCCAATCAAATTCTATTTTACTAGTGATTTTTCACTTGTAAGCTAGTTTTCACAGAGGTATAATAAACGTTTTTTTAGACCATACATCGAAATAAATTATCATAATTTCTATAGTCGTAATTTATTAGGTTCAACTCATTGCTTTAAAGGATCATTGTAAATGTTTTATGCCCGATTTGGATACTGAACAACGTGTGATTTTTGAAACACTGATGCCCCCATATGGCATCTTATGGCAAAAGTTAAAGTTTCTCAAATGCAAGTCAAACTCCATGGTCAAGATCAAAAGATAAAAAAAATGTTATTACCCAAATAAAGGTCTTGAACAGAGAATATAACAGTTTAAAAGTTATTGCCAAGGTTAATTTCTTTAAAAGGTCAAACTCCAAGGTCAAGGGATCATAATTGTTTGTACTTGAGGGAAGGTCTTAATTGTTACAAGGAATACACATATGGTTTTAAAAAAGCCTTAGCACCAACTGTTCAAAAGTTAAAACCAAGATTAAAGTTTTTTAAAAGTAGGACATACTCAAAGGTCAAGGTAAAATGGTCAAA